GCCACAGAGGTAGTTGAGGAGGTGCGTGCTGTTTCTATTGATTTGGTCCCACTACGTGCATCAGAGATGATGTTGCCTGTGCTTGTTGCCTTTGAGGAGAAGCTTCCTGTATTGCGTGCCACAGATGTGTTTGAGGAAGTGCGTCGTGTGGTCAAGAAATTAGATGTAGATTCCTTGAATGCCGTTGGAAATGAGGTTGGTGTTGATGTGGTTGCCGAGCCAATGAATGTCTGTATGCTCTATCGTGTTGGTTTTGTTGGTGCTGGGTGGAAGCGTCTTGTGGACCATAATCGTCATCGTTTGAACGAGTGCTTCCTTGCCGATGCTGCGGTTCGTGCCGATGTGGTTCCCAAGTCTATTGAGAATGTGACTTGTTCCGACTCTGGCGACGTGGTGGTGACGGCGTGGATTGAGCACCCGAGGCGGCTGGCGCAGAGCGATGTCTGCCGGTTCTTGCACGAGGCGCCGTTCTCGTCGATGTGGGAGCTTTACGACACGGTGTCCGGTCGGGCGAGCGTGACGGGCGGGGCGGCGATGGCGACGACATTTCACCGCGTGGGGTTCGAAGGGATCGACCGGCCGTTGGGGGGGCGGGGGGAGGCAATTCGGACCGCCTTCGTGTTGGACGTCGCGGAGGTCCTCTCGCTCCCCAACGCAGCGGTGCGGATTGCGGGCCACGAGGAGGCAGCAAACGGAGGGCGGCTTGTCTTCGACGTCCTTCTCGACCATCCATCAACACTCGCAGAGACGGAAATTGATCGCGTCCTCGCAGAAGCACCATTCACCCGCGTGTGGGACGTCTACAGAAACACCAAGACTCCCGTCATGCATAAGCTACCACCACTACGGACGCCCCCGCGTTCAGTCTCTCCGCGTGCGCTCTCCCCGCGTTCGCTCTCTCGACCACAGCTCTCCCCAGCGCACTACCGACAACATCAAGAGCAACAGCCCCACTGTTGCCCACATCACCTTTTCCAGGACAGCGGAGATTCTCCACGCGGTACGCAACATCACTATCTGCAACCAACTTGTAGCTATTTGAACTACATGCTGGCTCGAGGTGGGGACCCCAGGACAGCACAGCGTCCCAGACGTCTCCCACGGCCTTACCGTGTTTCGCCACTGAGGAATTCACCGAGGAATTCACCGAGAAGCTCAGAAGTTCACAGCGGGGCAGTCTCTGCACTTGTGCACATACCTTCAGCGGGACGCGAAATGTCGCAAGAAAACCCGGTGATGCTTCCGCCGCTGCGCTTCACCCCACGTACACAGGAATTGACACCAAGAACCGACTCTCTACATCCCCGGGCTCAACCAATGGCTCCACGACAACAACAACAACAACACTTGATAGATCTCCGGGGAGTTGGAAACGCGCTTCTGCAACGGCGTCTGAGGAAAAAGGAACATAACGTCTCATAGTTACTACCAGAGACTGCCAGTTAAAATCGATCGGTGTAGATCACTTTAAAGAATACTTGAAGACGAAGTATTTCCACCTTTTTTCTTCTTCTTTTTTCTTTCTGAGAGTATGAGAATGAGTTTGATTGTGAATCCCTGTATCAATAAATTTTGCACTGGAGTTATATTAATATATATACAGTTGTACCATACTTCTGCCACTACTTGAGAAGTGTGAATCGACTAAACTTTGCACACCAATTAGATCATATGTTTTACTCTCTCTCTTGTGGTGTGTATACCTCTTTATATGTATATTCTGTAAGTGCATCATTGGAGTTTTATTCCTTTGTGCTACTCTTTTTCCTTCAATATTGTTTCTGTAGGTTCATACTAGCAGTTGTTATTTCCATCTGCTCCCAACGGTGCTGAGTCTTCGATCCATCGGCTGCTGTTTTGTCCCACCCAATACGTTATTATGTATTCCCCCTTCTATTCTATATTGTTTATCTATCTATCTTTACATCTTTCTTATTTTGTTTTGCTTTTTTTTTTTTTGCCTCTTTTCTTCCTGTATTGGGCTCATTTTGAACCACGTTTCCCTTCAAGAAATCTAACCTGATTGTTCTCCTTTAATATGTATGATTGAGTGATCTTTTTTTTTTCTTTGACTCTATGTCCTTTCGTCCGCCCAAAGGCACTTTGTTGTTCGGCATACTCAATGATTTCTGTCTTTTTTTTTCTCGTTTTTTCCTGTTTTGGTGTGGATTCTGTGTCTCTTGCTTTTGTTGTTGTTCCTATTCTGGAGAGTGAGTGAGTGAATATGGAGATGACTGAAAAGTTATGGAAATGAATATTATATATTTGTATATACATATATGTGTACAATGTGAGTTCTCTTCTTCCTCTTTTTTTTTTTTCGGTGATATTTTCTTGAATTTTGCCGCAAACTCATGAGATGTGTGAATTCATTCATTTTTTCGTTTCGTTCACCTTTCACTCACTCACTCACTCACTCACTCACTCACAGACTGTTTTTGCTTTGATTCTCTTACTTAATTTTTTAAATATTTTAAGACGACTCTTAAATGAGAAAAGGAGAGAATGTAAGTAAGCAGCAACAGAAGTAACAAGAGAGGAATGCGACGAGGATAAATAAGAAAACAAAAACTCAGAAAACATCTACAAGGATGTGTTCAGCATTTTGTTAAGGTATTCATGTGGAAAGAAAAAAAAAAAGTGAGAGGTGTCGTTGGGTTCTGGGGATACACTGGTTTCTTTCCGTGATGCTGTAAATACATTAGCATCTGATCCCTTGTTGATTTTATTTCCACTGGTCTCATAGTTTTCTTTTTCTTTCACATTCCTTGTTTGCTTTTTTTTTTTTTTCTCTCGTTCTGTCTTGCGTCTCCCTCTAAAGGAGCCAAACGGATCACGGGAGGTTAAAAAAAAGAAAAAAAGATGAAATAAAAGTGTCACTGAAAGCAAAGAACAAGAAGAAAAAAAAAAAAAATACTAATTGTTAAATGTAAAATATACGAGTGAGAGGGAGTGAAAGAAAGTGAGAAAAAGATAAGGGAATATATAATAAATGAAAAAAGTACTTCAAAAATGAAAATAAAAGAAGATGAAGGAATGCCAAAATGATGTACACGAAGAGGGGAGTCAAGCCTTGAATTTTTTTGTGTATAGAGATTTCTTTGTCTCGTTTTTTTTTTTTTAAGAAGAATTCGAACTGTTTTCCCCCTACAGACATTTTTTTTTTTTGGGAGAATATGTATTAATTACCGCACTTCTCCGTGCTATATATATATATATATATATATATTACGCATATATGTATGTTCGTAATATTTAAAGTTTTCAACATGGATCTGCGTGTCAATGCTTTTTTATTTAAATAACTGTTTATGATAAAAAACGAAACGCATCTTTTTCTCTTGCAATAGTTTCATCATTTTTGAGTTTCTTTTTTTATTTCCAATTTTTTTTTTCTTTTTTTCCTATTGGATATTACACAACGTGATGGGGGTGCGGTCAAGTGCAGGCTTTTGTGTCAACACGCTCACACACACAAAAAAAAAAAAGAAAAAGAGACAAATATGTATCATTACCATTCTGTTCTTAATGAGTTTCATGCTCAGCGAAAACAAACCCAGATTCTTATTAATATTCTACGAAAGTTTCGCAATACGTAATTCTTTCTTTTTTTTTTTGTTTCACTCTCGTCGTTGTGTTGTTGTTGCTGCATCAGCAGTTATTCAGTAGTGGGAGCATTGATATATATATTTACATTTATTTATGTGTGTTTTTTTTTTTTCCTTATTCTTTTTCTTGTTGGATGGGATGTTGTGAAACAACACTTTGTTTTACATATTCCAATCCACTTGGCCTCCATTTTCTTTTACTCCTTCTCTGCATTGGCAGCTAGAAGAAAAGGAAAAAAAAAAAGGCAAGTGTTAGGACAAAAGAGCAGATTATGAGTACATCAGTGCTGGAGAAGACACTAACTGGGGCGGGGGCACCTTCCACAGTGGTGAGTGTTGTGGCGGCTCTTGCAGAGGCGAGCCGCGCGATATCGATAGATCTTCGCACCGACACGGTAGTGGCTGCAGAGAGCAGCAACAGCTTTGGCGATGAGGTGCTCTCCGTTGATCTGATGGCTGAGCGGCACATCGCTACACAACTGCGCGATTGCCCAACGGTTGCCACATTTGTATCGGAAGAACAGCCAATTCTCACACCAACACCAAACGCGGAGAGTGGGATGTACACTGTCTCATATGATCCGCTAGACGGCAGCAGCATCATCACCACAAACTTCTCTGTGGGCTCAATCTTCGCCGTTTGGCCGGGCCGAACACCAATTGGACTACAAGTGCAGGATATGGTGGCGAGTGTTGTTTCTCTCTATGGTCCACGTACGATGCTTTTTGTAGCTTTCCGTCCTACCACCAATACTAATTCTACAGGGACTGTCTTGCAGTTCTATTTGCACAGCAACGTGTGGACTCCTCTGCGAGATGCTGTCCCGCGCCAAATCAAGAAGAAAGCCACAATGTTCGCTCCTGGCAATCTTCGTGCGGCACTGGAATTGCCATGGTATCGTGATATCATCATGGCGTACATGAATGAGAAGGCTACGCTCCGCTACACAGGCGGAATGGTACCGGACGTGTGCCAAATTGTGGTGAGGAGTGACGGTGTTTACATGACGCCTGCGACGCCGAATCATAAAATGAAACTGCGGTTGATCTTCGAGGCGGCACCGATGGCGTTTCTCGTGGTGTGCGCTGGTGGCCGCGCAACAACGGGATATATGAATATGATGGAAGTGCGAGTTAATGAAGTGGAGCAGCGAACAGCCATTGCACTTGGCAGCAGTTGGGATGTGGAGCGATATGAAAATATGTGCCGCGACCACAGCAACAGTACCAATAACAAGACGGACAAGATTCGAACTTGTAATAATGGGAGTAAACTATAGGTTTTCAATACAATTTTCACGAGTGAATCAGCATACCTGGTGACGCTTCAATGGCACGTGAAAATACTATGATCCATAGGAATTGTGCATTGTATTGTTTTTTATTGCTTGTAATATAATTCTTTATCAAAATTGCCCGAATAATAATAATAATAATAATAATAATAATAATAATAATAATAATAATAAAGAAGGCTGAACAATTCTGTGTTGTATTATTTTTATTCATTTCAAGTGTTTCAGATTGATATAACAACAACAATAGGAACAAGAACGAAAACTGTGTACTGCTGTAGCAGATCCTGAAATCGAAACGTGATTGTTGACCGTTCTTTTTTTTCGTTTGTTTGTTTGTTTGCCTGCATTTACACACTGTCTTTTGCTTACGATATTCTCCACTTAACACACATAAATAAATAAATAAATAAATAAACTTGAAAAACAAAGAAAGAGAGAAAACCAAACCAATCAACAGGGAATGGAGAACACGGGGGCGGAGATGGCAGAAGGAGCCCCACTGCGGACCATTGAGGAGGTGCTCACCGGCGCTATGTGGGTCGTAAACCTTACAGACCCCGCACTCTGTCTTGACCGCCTGAACGAAACGTTCAATGATGTTATCTTCAGCTGTGTCGAAGATGATGATGAGAATGTAGAAGAAGAGCGTGTTGGTAGGCTCAGAACAGCTGCAGACCGCCTGCGAGATGAGAGAGCAAAGGAGGACCTACGTCGCGCATTGCTTGATCTACAGGATAATACATACGTAGATGATGATATGGGCGGAGAAAGGGGTAGCGGTGTAGGGACAGAAGAAAAGGAAGAAGATGAATATGGCGATGATGATGATGATGAAGTCTTCTCAGAAGAGTCACATCTTATGGATGATGAAGAGTTTTTGTCGTGGATTCACCGTAACGACACACAGCGTCGAGATGAGAGAGCTGATGTGGTGGAGAGTACGGATGATGTTGCCCCTGCCAGTGGTTTGGAGCTTGAGTTACACCGTGTTGGTTTAGGGGAGGAAGATAAACGAATGACAGAGGATTTGCTGCCAGAACGACTTAAAGCTATTGAAATGAAGGAGAAACGACCTGGTCTTGGTTCTCGAATGTTACCGCATGGATATTCATACAAAATTCCAATTGAGTATGAAGCTTTTTGGGTTTTGAGACAACTGCGTAGTGCAGGTCAACCTCTAGCGCATAATACACGCATTTGCGCCATCGCCACAAGACCTCTTGCAGAAGTAGCAGATGAACCGGTGGTAGTTGCAATTGGGTATGCGTTACGGAAAATGACACAGGAATATATCGAACCTGCACATCTTATGCTGTACCACCAGACTGCTTTGCATCCTCTGCTGTGTGCATTGTTAGAGGCTTCCCCACTACTGGAGTCAGCGGAGAGCACGTTGCCTGTTGTGTCCTATGCGTACAGCACTGAAACAGGAAGACGACAGCGACCTTACGTCTCAGACCGTTACGTTGGCTTCGGCGCGTTGAGTGATCGTTCCATCGGAGATGGTGATCCAAAGTGGAAACGACTAGACGGTGACGAAAACGATTTTACGCAGCGTAAACCGTGTTTCATTGAATTGGGGAGGTTGTTACTACGCATTCTAGAGCTTGATGTGCTTTGTCATCGACTGGAGTGTCAGAGGCAACAACTGCTTTTGAAATTAAAGGATCACCCAGAGTCTAGTGTACAAGATCAACGTGTAGCACTAGATCGACTTGTGTTTGAAAGTGGAATTGAAGCTGATTTTTGGCAGACTTTTACCGGATTTCTTACCGCAGAACACGGAAGAGGTCCAACTCAAGTAGTAAAAGCACTTGGACTAGAGGATGCATTTGAAGAATATACTATTACTGGACTACAATACCAGGAAAATCTTCTTGCCAATGCACCAATTCATGTTTGTCAGTCACCACAGTCAATACCATTGATGGAGTGGGCATTACAGGTTGGTAATAGTGCACGTACTCCACGTTCTGGTGAAGCAGTGTTATTACTTTTTAATCAAGCTATTGTAGAACAGTTTTCAAAATTACCTGTTCTTCGCAAGCGACTCTTCGACCTTTTCTGTGCAGAAGGTGATCTTATTGTAACATACAAACAGTGGAAACGAAGGGATGATGTTTATCCTTTGGCTACATTCTTTGTTGAACATCCTAGACACTACTTGGATCTGCTAGAACGTGAACGACAGGGAAGGGTGGGACTCTACTACGTTTTAAATGAAGATTTGATACGACGTGAAATGAATCTTCGTCAGCTATATGATCGATCTCCTGATGATGAATGGTCATTAGAACGTGAACGTGCAATGGAGTTATTGCTTCTGCGACTCGTTGATGGACTCATCCCAAAGGTAAAAGCAGAACTTTGTCAATTTGCACAACTCTTTGTGCAGACTCAGAGTATGGAACGTCTAGGTCTTCTGTGTGCAAATGGATCGTATGAACCCACACGGTTATGTCTTGAGGCATATGACAGTGATGCACTTATATGGGAACCTGAGTGGAATGTTGTTGAAGCCCTCCCGTTAGAACGATTCCATGGATTTGGGCGAAAACCTTTAGCACGTGTGTGCGCTGCCTACCGTGGTGATAATGGGGTGACATATTTGAGTTTTATAGATGAAATGGGTTCTTTTATTGCTTCCACACGTTGGGCCGATTGTGCGTTAAATTCTGAGGTTGGTCGAGCAGCTGATTTACAACAAAATATTCAGCTTGAAAAACTTTTTGCACGTTGTAATCCAAGTGTAATTGCTGTTGGTGCATTTAATACAGAATCTCTCTCACTAATGCGCTCCATGCAACGTTTTGTACGGGAACGTGTTTACCCGGCATTCCATGTGCACATTCCTGTGGTATGGGCACCTGTGGAGGTGGCACGGTTGTGCAGTGCGACTACATACGCTGATCTTGAAACTCCTGGGGCAGACTATCTCACTCGAACATCTTTGGCACTTGCACGATATGTACAGGATCCTCTTAGCTCTATTTGTCTTTTATTTGATAAGGAGCGTACTGCACTTCGTCTATCCCTTGGTGCTGCAGTCTATACAACTAGTGAACAAGAAGAGCAATTATACACACGATTATGTTGGGAAATGAGTTTCTGGGTTACAGCATGTGGTGTTTGGATAGATGAATGCGTTACTAGACCAAACAGTGTTGCTTCACTGCAGTTTGTAGCAGGTTTTGGTCCATCAAAAGCACGTAAACTCTACCAGCTGCTGACAACACAGTCTCCAAATAGTCGTGAAGAATGCAGTCGTACAATTACGGAGTATTTTGGTAAATATGTTTCACAAAATGCGGTATCTAGCTTACGTATAGGACCACAAAGTGACGGAGGTGTTTCGGCTACCGATAGAGTTTATTCTTCCCATTGGCATTTACTTGATCAAACACTTATACCCAGAGAATGGTATACTGCTGCTGCATTTATTGCAAGGACGGCATTAAAAAATGCATCACCAAGATTAGTTGCTTTATCAGATTTTATGCAACTTGAAGCGGATGAAAAGCGAGATCGCATAGATCGCCACGCGCACCAACAAGATATGATTATTGCCATTCGTAAAGAGGGTCGTGCTGAATGGAGTTCAATATTGGGTGAACGTGAGGTGGAATTTATACAAGAGGAGATGATAGCAGCTGGTCAGTCTTTTATGCAACGCCCATATCGACGTTTATCAAATAGAGAACTTATGATGTACATCACCGGAATTATTTACTGTTCACGTCGAGATGCATCCTTCTCAAATCGTTCAGTTGATACACAATCGCTACTTATTTCTGAGGGTGATTACTTATCAGGAACAGTACAAGGTGTACGTGGTGGTGGGGCAGTACCGGGAATTCGTGTGGCAACATCATGTGGTTTGGGGGCTTTAATTTCTGCAGATGATATTGACGATGATTCCATGAAACAGGAACTTCTACTGCATGTTCATTCTTTACGTGAAACTAGTGGTACACTAGAACGTCCATCTCTTTCCTCAACATGGCTACGTCGTGGTGCACCCATTCAAGGTGTTGTGATCAGTTGTAATTGGGAACGCTGCGAACTACGTCTGCGGTGGTGCCGACCTCGAGAAACTGAGCCTGGTAGTAGCAATAATAATTTCAAGAGAGAACTTGGTATTGATAAAGATAACGAGGAAGATGGTGATCAAAACTATGTGTCCTATGATACATTTATAAATGATGCGACAAGTAGCGCAAATTCCCTCCGTACCGTTTATATGAATATGGAGGCACGTGTCTTTGCGACTAAAATATCTCGTCATCCTCTTTTCCGTGACACTACAAGTGCTACAGCGTTGTCATACCTGCACGATAAGAAAATTGGGGAAGTAATCCTCCGCCCGGCAACAGGTTTCCGCAATAAGGCGATTGCGGTAGTGAAGATTGGAGAGCGGTCCATGTGCAATTGGCTCATCAGTGAAGAGCGGCGACCAACTGGCGCTATTTATTACCGTCTGAAGGATAAAGTCTCGGGCCGCCAGGTGGAGTTTGGCGACGTGGATGAGTTCTTGAACGGCTTTATTGCCCCAATGGTGGAACTCGTGCAGGGAATCCGCGAACACCGCCGCTTTGTGGGAAGTGCCCGCGAGGTCCATGACGCGCTCGATGCACAACGGCGTGGTGGCCTCGGCTTCGCGTACGTCTTTGCTGAAGTTGGACAGCAGTCGCGGCCGCCGTTTTATCGCGTCTTCACGCGCGGCGGCAACACAGAACGGAACTTCTACTTGCACATTGATGATAGCAGCATCTACGTTCGTGTGCCTATCCGCAGTAGCAGCGGCAGGGGCGGGGTGGAGCTTAAGTGGGTGAAGTGCCGTAATGCGGAGCATGTGAGCGAGCTCGTGAAGGGCCTCGCACGACCTCGCTAAGAAGTACACTTGTAGTTTAAGAGGAAGAAAGAAGAAGGTGAGAAAGAAATATGCTGATTAACGTTCATTCGTCACCTAATTGTATATGCGTGTTTATCTATCTATCTATCCATCCATTTGTATATATATATATATATATATATATATATACAGATGGATGAGAGAGATAGAAATAGAGAGAGAGTTGGCTTCCGTGGGGGTGGGTGGTGGTGGTATGGTGGAATGTTTGTTCTATGCTTCCATCCTCCATGAGAAAGTGATCTCTGTTTTCTCTGTTTGGCTTCCTCTATTTATGGTTAAAAAGAAAGAAAAAAAGAGAGATCATTATGTGTACAGCAAAAAAAGAAAATAATATAAATGATAAAGGAAGAAACGAAGCGGATCGAAAAGAGATGAAATTCCGAAGAAAGTACACACGTAGAGAGAGATGATAAACATACGGATAGACACGTGTTCACACTCCCCATGGTTATGTATATTTCTATGGGCATATATATATATCTGTACGTATAAAAACTGCTGGAGCGATGAGAAACTTGTTGTTGTTTCATATCTAAAATCGACAAGAAAAAAGAACAACAGCAAACAAACAACATTGGTGGCGGCGACATTTACAATAAGAATAAATAAAATGTACTGAAGTAATGACAATGATGCGAATAATTATGCTTTCTCTGTCCTACTTTCTCTTATTCTTTCTCCTATTTTCCTATTTTCCTATTCTCTTGTTCTTATTTTTTTTCCTCTATTAAAAGAAGTAGAAAATCCGATAGTAACACAGAATATAGGTGTGTAAGGAAACTCAAAAGAACAACAACAACAAGAAGTACATCAAAAAGCTTAAAAAGCGCTGCTAGTCAAAGGGGAAGATAGCAACGCTGATCTAAACAGGTGAAATAATCGAAAAAGAAAAAATACGTTTTTTTTCTCTTTTTTTTTCTTTTACTTTTTCTTGTTCTATTGTTTTTTTTTTTCACTCTCCTTCCTGAAGTGAGCATTTATTATTATTATTATTATTATTATTATTATTATTATTATTATTATTATTATTATTATTATTATTATTATTATTTATTCCCATCATTGGTTCAGGCGTTCGACTTCCTCTTTAAAATATATATATATATATATCTGTACCTCGCTTTGTACCTCTGCGTTAATACTGATGGGACGGAGGCGGGCGCAGTTTATTCTGGCGAGGCTTGCGAGGCAGCACCCGGAGCTGCACAAAAATGTCATGCGGGATGTAGAGCGTTTAGAGCGTGAGGCGCGTAGCGGCACTTCGTGTGAGTCGCGACTGGCGTCAAGTGCGCGTGTGTTGTTGCGACTGTTGCGTGTGCACAGTGAACTACGGCCGTACATTGCACAAGGGAATCCTACATGTGTCCCTGCCATGTTGACCAGGATAGGCACCCACGTTGAACGGAGTAGCAGCAACAACAGCAATAAAAATAACAACGATGTTAATAATAATAATAATAATAATAATAATAATAATAATAATAATAATAATAATAATAATAATAAGGATGATGTTTATGAAGATGACGATCATGTACTTCTGAGCCTTGTGTCTGTTCTCGAGGCTTCAGGGACACTCAGCGATACAATGATGGAGGGACTCAGCAAGAACCTCTCAGCATGCGTGTCATTGATCTTTACACGCAATGTAGCTGTCGCTCAACTCGCAGGAACGCTCATTGGTAGAACCGTACGGTTAGCCTCTGACGGTGAGAAGCTTGCAGCGCGGCTGCTCATCGATGAAGACTTTTGGCGTCAATTCGACAATCTCTTCTTTGGTGATGGGCCGGACGCACACATGCATGAAGATACATCCGGTGTTCTTGCTGTCTGTCTCATGTTGCTGCGCGCATGCTGTGGGGTTCATCTTGCAGGGCGCGGTCCAGTTATTTCGCGATTGCAACAATTGTGCGCTCATGCCAGTCTGCGGAACGATGAGCAGTTAAGGAATGAATTGCTGCTTCTTCTTGTTGTACTCCGCTTTAACGCAGAAGAGGCGGATCCATGTGTTGATGAATGCTTTAACCTATTGACAGCTCCTAATGCTGATAATACTACCCATACATATACCGACAAGAGTGACACCAACAACGATAACAATGACAATACCAATGAAACTGAGAGTGATAAGGAGAAAAATGAGAGGAGTGCGTTACGAACGTTTAGTGAAGCACTTGGAGGTGTGGGCGGTGATGAAATTCCCACTATGGAATTTAAAAAAGCGCTTGACTCATTGCAAAAGGATCAATTTGATACTGCTGCGCGATTGCGAGACCTTCACACGATTGCAAGACTTCTCTTTCGTCCTCCAACGCCAGCGGGTGTGGCAGCCGCTTTGCTTTTGTTATTGCCAAGTGCTCTTAAGAGCGTTTTTGCAGCGGCCAGCGGTGTGGATGAGAATGTGAGTGCGTACGCCTGTACAATTCTTGCAGCTGCGATTGATGGGGATGGAGTAACACCATGGGTGACGACAGAAGAGCGAAGTCATCAGCAGCGGCCACAACAACAAGAGAAGAGTGTAAAGGAAGAGCAACAAGAACATGGTGCTTGTAACTATGAAAAGTGCCAATATGAGGGTTTTGATCCTTCATATTTTCAAAAGTGTTTGGTAGAGGACTTCTTTAGACTTGGAGGTGTTGTACTTTTGGAAGATTTACTCACGGATTACAGTAACGGGGTTGTGTTAGCAGCAGTGCGACTGCTACAATCTCTCTTGCGTTTTTCAAAAGAAGCATACAATGTTATATTGGCATCAAGGTGTATTGATAATTTATGTGGAGCTTTAGAGAGTATCAGCCAAGATGAGGGTCTCTCTGGAGTGGTACAACGTCCTGATGGTAAGGCTTTGTTGCTGCTTGCACTCAATACATTCACGCTCTTGGATGCTGAGGCAATGCGACTGGTACCAGAAAACGCTCTCAGTTGTATAGGAACAATTGCAACAGAAGCAAAAGAAGATGTTGGAGTACTCGCTGCTGCTATTCGTGCTCTTTCATTACTTGCAGCAGTGTATCCAATGGCAGCCACCCTAGTGCTAGACTACGAGTATATACATAGTGTGCTTACATCTAGTATAAATGATAACCTTAGTGATTTGGATGCTATTTTTATTATTGGCTCTTTTGACATCATGTCTTCTATTGTTTCCAGACAACCTTCCTGTGTTACCTTTGAGTGGATTGAGACACTAATGTTAGCATCACGGCGGGTGCAAGACTGGAAGGAAAGTCTCCCTGGTTATGCCCACGCATTTTGGGGACTTGTACTAGAGACAGTCAAAGCTTCAGATGATGGAAGTGCGTATGTATTTGAAGATGAGGAATTCGTTGAACTATTACTTGGCGCCTTGACACAATGTTGTTCTCAGTTGTTGCCAGTAAATAGATTTAAAGAAACCGAACATGATAACACGTCTGATGATATTTCTAAAGATAAACGACGTAGACAAGCATTTGAATTGCTTCCACTATTAGTAAATCTGACGAAACATATGCCGTTATTTCAAAATCGACAGAAACTAACGGATTGTTATATTCTTGAAGCTCTCTCACTTTTAGTTGCTGCCCGAGAAGGAAATGTCTCACCGGATTTTATAATTGACGTTGTACTTTCTGTTATTGACAGTGATACACTCTGGAATGTCGCAATCGATATTCTTAGTAATGCTACTCCACATGTTGTAACGAGTTTGTTGGAACGGGTGGATTCCTTTGTTGCAGGTGTAGGTGCAGTATCATCAAAAACAGTTCCCCAAGAGAATGTAGAATCAACAGCCGAAATGGAAGGAGAATTATTAATACCAGTAGACACAGATAATAATACACCACAGGAGGAAGTCCCTAAAAATGATTCTGAATTAAAGGTTTTCTCGGTTACAGTTGCCTTGCTGAGCGCTTTGGTAAATTATAGTGAGGCGAAACGAACCACTGCAACACTTGAGTCAATTAATAAACTCGTAAAAATGGCACTCCAGTCACCTGGCGATTCTATTTTGCTGTCATCAGTGTATGCATGTATACTGAGGTCATTTTCTGGAGTGATGTGCATAGGAAAAGATAATATGATACAGGCAGCTAGACAATTGTGTTCTGAAGAGCAAATTGTTGAATTACTTTCACATCATCTGAATTCATTGAAAATGGATGACAGTGAAAAAGAGTTTTCTGGTGCTCTGTACAATGTATTACAAAAACTACATGAATTACAGAATATTTCATCATCGTCTTCAACGTTACGTGAACAAGTGTTCCTTAAGTTTACTTTGAATCATCTCCTTCGAGACTGTGGGGAACTAGTATGCCGTTCGCTTTTTATTAATCTCTGTGCAAATGAGTTTTTTTTACGTCATATGCTCGAATCTCAACAGTCGGCTTACCGTACTTCTTTGAGCATTGATACCTTATGTGATAATAGAAATAGTAGTATTAATAATGATAATGATAATGATATTCCTGTTACTGTTGAGGGTGTAATGGAAAGTGGTGACGTAATGCCACAGTTTGTTGAAGAAAGAAAATGTGATAAAACGGCAAACAAAAAACCCTTGTGATTTTCACAAGGCATTTATTATTATCCAGCGAGTTGTGGTTAGCAAAACCTCAGCAACAACAAAAGCAATAACAACAACAATTAAATATGCTTTTTTTCTTTCGTTTTTTTTTTTTTTTTGCTCTCTTGGAGTGCCAAATGGATGGGTTTGAGGAGATCGTGAAAAATGAAAAGAAAGAGACACAGTATATGTAGAATTGAGTTAAACTTAACGATTTCATCTTTGTTTCCGATTTTTTTTTTTACTCCCCATTAGGTGAGAAGGGTGTATCGTATTTCCGAAGCCTAAATGACACTCCCAACCTCTGAAGAGCACCCAAGTTGCTTTCCTGTTATGAGCTTTTTGCACGTACCAGGTAAGATGTCACAACCATTATGGTTAATGATGGGAACGGCCTTTCTCCTTCGGACGGGACATGCTGCTGGCGGGAATAGGCGATTTTTCCTTTCAGCGAAGCACACCTTTGCCCCATGGGAGTATCTTGGGAGTCCTGATAAGCTGAAGATACCAGAGGCGTATCGCAAGACGCGATTTGTTATTGGACGATTGTACCTGACGGACTGCAAAGGGAAGGCGATGGCCACCAGCGCAGCGGAGCTACAATTAGTGGCTCTCCATCCTACACTTGATGTTGCGCTGTTGGCTCTGCGGGCGCCACCACCCTCACTATCATTATCATCATCATTATCATCATCATCACCAATATCGTCATCATCATCATTATCATCACCAGCGGCTGGTGATTCGAAAGGACCCGAGTCTGATGTCCACGTGGCGGTGGAGCGGCGGGCGGCGTTGACGGGTGGAGGTCTCACGTTGTCCCCGTCAGATCCACAAAAAGGTGATGTTTGTGTGGTGCGGGGTTACGGCGGCGTTGGGCCGCTGGGGCTTTTGGACACCACCGATCCGGAGTTGCTGCAGCGACTGCCAGCAGCGCAGCGCGATGAGCTTCTCGCGGCACTGAAATGTGTGGAGGGACAACAAGTCGCGGCCACTGCGGCAGTGGAGGTGCTGCACGCAAGTGGGATCTGTCGCGCTACACACGGCCGCTGTTATCACGGCATGTCGGGCGGACCAGTACTTGTGAATGATGAAATGTGCGGCGGCATTCTGTACGGAAAGCATGCGGAGCACACAGAGCATCTCGGGTACACGCCTGCGCATAGCTTTAGCGAATGGCTCTCGTGTGCTACAGGGACTGGGTAGAGAAGTCGGGTATAGTTCTCTCTAAGGGGAAAAACCACTGACAATATCTCATTCTTTCTTGTTTTCTTTTTTTGTAACCACATATTCTGCGTGTCTGCGATTTCCTCATTTTGCTGTGCTCATTTTCTTTTTCTTCTTTCTTTTTTTTTTTCTATTTTCTTCACACATTGTGTATAATGAATTCTATTGAAGGTTTCATAGGAATTCGGTAGTGTGTCACGTTCAGGCAATGTCTGAGGAACGTCCTGCCAAAGTGCAACGAACAGAGTCTGGCGCGAAGACTGTTACCACGCGTGAGTTTCTGCAGACAAGTGTGGCGGAAGGGCCATTCAGTGTTCTCGACAGTGCCATGCGGAACGGCACGCGTGTATTTATTCAGTCCCGTTTTAATAAGTCTCTTGTCGCTACGGTGGTCGCGTTCGACAAGCATTTCAATCTTGTTCTCCGTGATGTAGTGGAACTCACGATGGTTAACAACGAGCAGAAGGAGCGGTCCATTCGCAATATGTTTCTGCGCGGTGGGTCTGTGGTGTTCATTGTCAAACTTCCACAAAATGCAGCGTAGAGATATCTAGTAATGAAGTTCATATTTACGCACAGAGAAAGAAGAGGAGGAGGAAAAAAAAAAAAAAGACACAAACAGACACCGTTCTGTTGCACCTTCTTTAATATAAACACAAGAACAAAAGAAAGGAAATACCTTATCACCTTACTTTTTTTTCTTTGCGTCTTCCGTTGAAATGAGTTTTTTCTTAATATTTCTTCTCTTCTGTTTCTTTTCTTTTTTCTTCTTTACACATGTGTAGCATCTAAGATTTAAAAGTTCATTATGCGCCGTCTCCTTCACATCTTGGCATTGATGCTTGTCTTGAGCAGCACCAGTATCTTGGCTTGGACCGAACAACCCTGCAATCACGGCGAAGTCGAGAAGAAACGTGGCCCTATTACAGTTATTGATGTGAAGTAAAGAGAGTTATACTAGTAGTATGCAGTAGATCTTTTTTTTTTAAGGTATTTATTCCCAGAAGTTTCTTTTCAATTTACGGTGTGGAACTTGCGCACCATATCTTGAATTAAGTAGAGTGTATCTTGGGTTTTTAGGAGGAAAATGAGGAAAAATTGAAAAATAAAGGAAAAAGCAGGTTTTAAGTGTTTGGGTTAATCTTTTTTTTTATGTGTGTTCCAATATGTGTGTCTCTGTCTCGGTGTGTAGCTACCACTGTTGACATATATGTATATATATATATATATATATATATATATATATATAAACCTATGAAAGCGAAAGAAAAATATTAGAAGGAATCCTTCTACAAACTTTTTAGTTTTTAAGTTATATCCTACTATTATTTGAACATAAAACTGAAATTAACGAGGTGAATCATAACATGACACTATTGGTTTATTATTTAATGTTTTTAAAATTTATCTCTTCCTTCCTATATTTCTCTTTCTATTTTTTCATTCTTTATGTAAGGGTTATTTCACGTTATCCCACAAATTCTTTAATGACCTTCGTGTGTGCGGAATGTGGTAACAACATCTCTAGTGTAACATGCCGTGTATGCACCGATCTGCCAGTCGGTGAACTGCCGGCGGAAGTGTGGAAACGATCAGCCCCTACTCACAGTCCATCAACATTACAAAAGCGACAACAACAGAAAAGGGACAATATTGCACAAAGAAGAATCATTACTAATAGGTCAACGTCTCATGGTTCGCCTACGCGAAGTGGTAGTAATAACAGCAATTCATATTTATATGGTCATCCTCTGTCAACCACCACACTACCCCCATTGCAGACACCTCCAAATAGAAATAATCACGGAGCAGAAACGATGTCCCTTCCTGCAGTGGTATTTAAAAAGAGGTCTCCATTTGATACAATGAAATGGCCAGAAAATGGACATCTTCCGCCACTTACAAATAGAGAGACTGAAGATAGGTCTTCCAGTGAAACTGAAAATACAGTTCACTGTATACAGTTTCAAGGAGATGTATGGGAAGCTGTACTGCCAGAGAAGGAAAAGGAACTACATGAAGCTTTGGCGCAGGACATATCTAACACTCTGCGTTTTCCTTGTGTCGCATCAGTCAGTCTTACAGATACTTATGGAGGATTTTTGGCGTATTGCAGCGTGCAGCATCCAAAAAATTTTAGTGGAGAGTATATCGATCGATGCCTTAACAACTATCACTACCCTGCAACCCGAAAAATTTACCAGAGCTTGCGGCACCCATACGCATCGTGCCCGCCAGCATTAGAATGTAACTACTATGAAAAGGATGCATATACGCAAGGGAACCAACAGGTGATGAGCAATTCAAATGATAAAAAACCAGTCACCTCAGTTTTTCCAGAAACACTCCCACAGGGCTTCAACAAAGGACACCTCTCTCTAACTACCTCTGCTTCTACTGCAGAATTCTACAAAAGTCCAATCAAGACGAATCCATCAACAGAATCTTTGAATGCTTCTCCGTACCGACACCAGGAATATTATGGTGTTCGCACATCCCATCAACAACCTCATACACCTATTAACAGCGGAACGGAAACAGGATTGCGTGAAACAACTGGGAAATTAGATTCATTAGAGATGCGCTCTAAGAACACACTAACACGGAGTGATCTGCCGGATCACGCAGCTCCAGACCAAACAGATAAAGAGACCCCGAAGACAATACTAGATTATTCTAATCATAATGTCCCGGACACCACCTCAACTCTCCATGACAAAACTAGTAGAGCCACAACAGTAACAACATCACCTCACCAGAACCCACCTTACTACGAAGTAAGTAATCATAGCTATGACAAGTCCCAACCTTCAGAAAAAATATTAAAACAACAACAAGTGACACTGCAAAGAGAGACAATAGGTTCAAGTCCTATTCAAGGTTCTGCGAGACCAGATGATGAGAGATCTCTAGGGCCATGGTCTATCTCTTCACCACCACCACGTGAGGCAATGATGATGGACAACCGCAGCGTAAGCTCCTATCCCGTGCAAGCTCGTCTGCGAACAGATGATGAACGGTCACTGGCCCAGGAGTCAATTGCCTCACTACCACCACGTGAGGCAGTGATGGTGGACAACCGCAGCATAAGCTCCTATCCTGTGCAAGCTCGTCTGCGAACAGATGATGAACGGTCACTGGCCCAGGAGTCAATTGCCTCACTACCACCACGTGAGGCAGTGATGGTGGACAACCGCAGCATAAGCTCCTATCCCGTGCAAGCTCGGCTGAGAAGTAGTTCTGTAACTTTTCTGCAACACCCTAGGGGAACGAACATTGTGGACGAAAGGGTACTTATAAATTCTTTTCAAGGGTCTGCGGGACCAGATGATGAGAGATCTCTAGGACCTTGGTCTATCTCTTCACTACCACCACGTGAGGCAGTGATGGTGGACAACCGCAGCATAAGCTCCTATCCTGTGCAAGCTCGTCTGCGAACAGATGATGAACGGTCACT